GGCGCTGTGCTGAGTCGTTCAAGGACCTCTGAATCTGCCCCCATGAGGAGCGCAGAGCAGCCAGGTGGTTATCCACAGCCGGAATGTCCTGTGGAGAGAACAACTCAGGCAATACAGCGGGTTGGAACCCATAGTTGGCCATGAAGGGGGACATCCCAGAGGAGGAGTTGACAGCCGAGTTCCTCGCAAACTCTGCCCATGGCAGGAGATCGACCCAGTTGTCCTGATGATCCGATATATAGCAACGAAGGAATTGTTCCAGGGCCTGGTTGGAACGCTCCGCAGCCCCATTGGACTGAGGGTGGTAGGCCGAAGAGAAGGAAAGCTCGATACCCAACTGGGAGCAGAAGGCGCACCAGAACCTGGACACAAACTGGCTCCCACGGTCCGAGACAATCACCTTGGGCAACCCGTGCAAGCGAAAGATCTCCTTGGTGAAAACCGTAGCCAGTTCTTGTGCAGTCGGCAATTTCTTGAACGGAACGCAATGGCACATCTTAGAAAAACGATCGATCAACATAAGAATGACCGTATGACCTTGAGACGCAGGAAGATCCACAATAAAATCCATGCCCAGGTGTGACCAGGGACGCTCCCCATTGGGAATGGGTTGCAGAAGGCCCAATGGAAGGTGCCGAGGAGATTTATTCTGGGCACAGACCGAACAAGCTGCTACATATGAGGCGATGTCAGAACGGAGAGATGGCCACCAGAATAACCGAGAAACGACCCAGGACAATTGGTTCCTACCAGGATGACCGGCAGTCTTGGAATTATGGTAGGTACGTAGCAAGCGGGTACGCAATCCCTCAGGTACAAAACATCTTCCAGCCGGTCTCTCAGGGGGAGCGTTAGTTTGAGCCGCCAAAATCTGCTCCCCAAGGGGAGAAGTCAGGTTGGTACGAATGGCAGCCAGGATCTGGTTTGGAGGAATGACCGAGGTCGGCTCAGTGTCCTCCCTGGACAGCTCAGAGTATTGCCGCGACAAGGCATCAGCCCTGACATTCTTGGAACCAGGCAAGTAAGAGACCACATAATTAAAACGTGACAAAAACAGAGCCCACCTGGCCTGACGGGGTGTCAACCTCTTAGCCTCCGAGAGATATGTGAGGTTCTTGTGGTCAGTGAGAACTAGGACTGGGACCACAGAACCCTCAAGCAGGTGCCTCCATTCCTTGAGAGCCCAGAATAATGGCCAACAACTCCCTGTCTCCAATCTGGTAGTTGCACTCTGCAGAGGAAAGCTTCTTGGAGTAGAACCCACAGGGAAGTAGGGGTCCCTCGGGTGACCGACGCTGGGACAAGAGGGCGCCTACTCCTGTCTCAGATGCATCAACCTCGAGAACAAAAGGCAACCCAGGATTGGGATGAGACAGAATTGGGGCCGAAGTGAAGGCGGCTTTCAGAGCCTTGAAAGCTGGAGATGGCCTCGGGTGACCACTCGTGAGGGTTACTGCCCTTCTTGGTCAGATCTGAGAGAGGCTTGGACAGTGTGGAAAAGTTCCTGATAAACTTCCGATAATAGTTGGCAAATCCCAAAAAGCGCTGAATGGACCGAAGACCACTGGGACGAGGCCACTGCAGAACCGCTGAAACCTTCTCAGGGTCCATAGAAAAACCCACCGGGGAAATGATGTAGCCCAAAAAGGCAACCTGGGATTGGTGAAATTCACACTTCTCGAGCTTACAGAAAAGCTCGTTTTCACGTAACCGTTGCAGCACCCGCTTAACATCCTGGATATGAGTCTCCATAGACGCAGAGTAAACCAGGATGTCGTCCAAGTAAACCACCACGCACTGCTGCAACAAGTCACGTAAGACATCGTTAATAAACTCCTGAAAGACCGCGGGTGCGTTACACAACCCGAAGGGCATAACCAGGTATTCATAGTGGCCGGTTCTGGTGTTGAACGCGGTCTTCCACTCATCGCCCTCCTTGATCCGTACAAGGTTGTAGGCAGCCCTAAGGTCGAGTTTAGTAAAGACCGTTGCTCCCTTGAGGCGGTCAAACAACTCGGTGATCAACGGAATAGGATAAGCATTTTTAATCGTGACCCGATTGAGACCCCTAAAATCAATGCAGGGTCTCAGCTCACCTCCCTTCTTTTTCACGAAAAAAAAAACCCAGCTCCTGCTGGAGACGTAGACTTGCGAATGTGCCCCCGGGAAAGCGCATCCGCAACGTATTCCTCCATGGCCTGATTCTCTGCCACCAAAAGAGGATACACCCTGCCACGCGGAGGAGTAGCACCAGTTTGTAAGGTTATGGCACAATCGTATGGACGATGAGGAGGCAGGGCACCGGCGCGCACCTTGTCAAACACGTCCAGGTACTCCCCATATTCAGTGGGCAGCACAGAGTCCGAGGAGGTGCACAGCACCTTAACCGGACCACGGATGCAACCAGCCCCACACCGTGGTGACCATGAGAGAATCTCGGCCGATCGCCAATCAAAGGTCGGATTGTGCCTCTGAAGCCAGGGATAGCCCAAAACCACGGAGTAGTGCGGGGAAGAAATTACCTGGAAACAGGCCAATTCCCTGTGAACAGCCCCAATAGCTACCTCCACCGGCAGGGTCTCGTGGGTAACCTGCGATGGCTGCAAGGGCCTGCCATCTATCGCCTCGAGAACCAATGGAGTCTCTCGAGCCTGCAGAGGAATGGAGTACTGGGCAGCAAACGAACTGTCCATAAACAAACCGCCAGCCCCAGAGTCTACCAACGCCTGGGCCGTCACCGAGCCTCCTGCCCAAGAGAGGACAACGGTGATAAGCGGTTTATCTTTACGGGAAACCGGGGACGAGGAAACTCCACCCAAGATCTGCCCCCGACAGGATCTCAGGTGCGGGCGTTTCCCGGACGGACCGGACAGGACTGCCGAAAATGCCCCCCGAGTCCACAGTACAAGCAGCGACCCTCCCGACGCCGAGAGGCCCGCTCCCCCTCGGAAAGGCGAGCAAACCCCAGCTGCATGGGCTCACTACCAGACAAACCATCCCCAGGAGGCGTGGGAGGAGAGGGAGGCACGGGTGGGACAGAAAACGTAGGCGCCAAACGGTTAGGAGGCCTCCGCAGCCGCTCCTTAAATGAAGGCCTCTCTCTGAGCCTGGTGTCAATCAAGATTAGGAAGGAGATGAGTGCCTCTAACTCCACAGGCAGTTCTTTGGCTGCGATCTCGTCCTTCAACGCATCAGAGAGACCATGAGAGAAAGCAGCCACTAGAGCCTCATTGTTCCAACCCACCTCTGCCGCCAAAGTACGAAATTCGATGGCGTACTCGGCAACGGTTCGTGAACCCTGATTCATGGACATGAGCAATTTGGCAGCAGAAGCGGAGCGAGCGGGTACGTCGAATACCGTACGGAAGGAGGCAACGAAACGGGTAAACACGTGAATCACCGGGTCATTCCTCTCCCATAAGGGATTAGCCCAGGCCAAGGCCCTATCAGAGAGTAGCGAGATTAGGAAGCCCACCTTTGCCCTCTCAGTAGGGAAAGCGTGAGGTATTAATTCAAAGTAAATCCCCACTTGGTTAAGGAAACCACGACACTGACTCGGTTCCCCCCCAAAGCGCTGCGGAAGAGGGGCAGAACCAGTCATACCTCTGGGTACCGCGGGTTCCGCAACAGATGCGGAGGTAGGTGCAACAACCGGAGCAACAGTGGGAGAGTCCACCGGAGTAACATCTGACCCTAATAGCCCCAGGGGTAAGGTGTGCTGTGCGTGCAAGCAGAGCCTGCAACGCCTGAGCGAACTGATCCAACAAGCGATCCTGTTGGTCAAGTCTGGCGAGTAACATAGGGATCGAAGGCGTACCTGCACCGTCAGGATTCATGGCACTTGTGTAATGTCAGGGCAGGACCGCTGGAATGGGCAGGCAGGCCTATGGTACGGTCACGCTGCGACTGACGACAGCCACTACCCACAGACCAGAGCCCCTCAGGGCGCGGAGTCTAAGCCCCAGGCTACCCTTCACCAGGGCCCCTGATGGTGGGGATGGACTTGACGCAGACTGAGACCAGGTCGCGGCCCCCGAGTGACCCCAGCTGCGATAACGACTGCCGCCAATGGCGTACAGCTGGTGGGAGCTAGATGGGAACACGAGTAGAGTAGTCAGACAAGCCGGGTCAATAACAACGGAGCAGACAGTACTAGACGGTAGGCAAAGAATACTCAGGTCACGGGCCGGGTTAGCAACGGAAGGTCAGGTAAAGGGTTAACGCAGAGAGTAGTCTTGTCCAAGCCGAGTCGGTTACCAGGAGAGCAATGGGAACAACACAAGAGCTTGCAACAGGGCAACATACAGGACACAAGTGCAGAGCACACTTGCAGACAGCAGGTTTAAATGTGCTCAACCACACCCTTCTGAGGAGGAGCCGCAGAAGCCTGAAGGCATAAAGGTTCCCACCATGCTTTGCAGAAAACCAAGATGGATGCCAGCTCATGGAGATGCACAAGCTCTGAAGAAAGGTAGGACCTTGACACAGAGCCAGAACACCAGGAGTTATCTGAGGGTACTATAATTTCCTAAGAAAGGATAGAAGATTCCTAGCCATGCAGCTCTTGTGCTGGGGCAAAAGCGATGGATGATGCCATTCTACAGATGCAAGTAAGAATGTTGTTCGCACACCAATATATTTTTATTATATCTGTTCTATTTAGTTACAATAACATTTTGGAACACTCAGGGTCCCCTTTATTAGGCAATTGTGACCTGTACCTGGGACACTATTTGGCCCCCAAACAATGCATATCTTATTGTTACTAAATGAAAGCAGATATTTGAACAATATCTTGGTGTGCATACAACATTCTTATTGCTTCATAGGTACTGTACTGATGGGGAAGCACCGACGCATCCAAAATAACACAGTGCATACATGCCTGAAAAATTTCTATAATCTTTCACATGTACTGTATATTTGCACGATTTATAATACATTCAATAAATATCTCATGTTAAACATGAAAACAAAGCAAACGTGAACCGCTCTCTTACCGTAGCACCTCCCATCCATTTTGGGTTATCCGGAAACTCGGCACATAAAACATCCTTAGACTGGTCTGTTCCCAGGACATGATAATAGAGCTTCTGATGCAGGTTGGTGGATGTTTCCGTACCTTTCCAAAATGATGATGGTGAAATTGAGGGAAAAAAATGTAGATTAAGATGGGCACGGTATTGCAATCAACACATTAAAGACATAATAAACCTAATACCACACCGAAAAGTCTATTGCTATATGTTTAATCTGCCATTACTGCTTACAGAGGATTTTCACCCTGTAAACAAAAATTTAAAAGTTGGCAGCTACAAATACTGTAGTTGATTTTTTAAAAAAAAACACACACTTACCTGTCCCAGGATCCAGCAATGTCTTCAACCTGCTGGCTCCATCATCTCAACTGTGGGAAGCTGGCTGTAAATCCCTGCGGCTACACAGTCAGCTGCCTAATGCACATATGCAAGCTGCGCTGTGCCCCATAAATAGTCCTACAGTTTCCTGTGACCTGTCCAAAAAAGGCGGCAGAGAGAGGTAGGGGTGGGGGGTAAACCTCCACTTCGAGGCAGTAGGAGCAGAAGTGGGAGTGGGTACCTGTCAAAATTGGGTAAATGAAACCCAAGCCTGCCCCCCCCCCCCCCAAAAAAAAAATTCCACATCCCTAATATGGGAGAGGAGGGGAAAGCAAAGCGTAACTTCCCCTTTTGGGTGAAGTTTTGTTGAAACCACTTGCTATCTGGGACAAACATGATATTTTCTAAAATCAGAAGCCCAGGAGAATAAAAAGGTGGGCGTTACATTTTTTTTTATTTTTGAACAATATTTGCCTAGCCATTTATCAAACACAAATTTTCAAGAAAAAAAAAAATGCATTTCAGTGCACACAAACACAATATAATACCCATTTTGTGGTAAAAATTTTATTTTTTTCTACATACTTACCTGTAAAATCCATTTCTTAGAGTACATCATAGGATACAGAGCAGGCCATAATAATGACTATGTGGGTTATATATTTATATATAGGTGAATGGACACTGGCTGAGCAATCAAACAGGAAGTCTTCCCCCATATAACCCTTCCTACACAGGATGTACTTTTTTGTAGCAAGCAATAAAAATCCAGAAAGAGGGGAAGGATCTCTGTGTCCTGTGATGTACTCCAATAAATTAATTTTATAGGTAAGGGTGTAAAAAAAATCCAATTTTCTTTCTTGTACATCACAGGACACAGAGCAGGCCATAATAATGACTATGTGAGATGTCCCAAAGCAAAACCCTGGAGGGGTGGGTGACATTATAATAACCACTGCCAACATCCCAAAAGGGAGCTATTCAGCTGTACGTAAAACACTGCGGCCAAAAGCAGAATCCTCCGTGGCTCGGACATCCACCTGGTAAAATCTTGTGAATGTATGACCTGAAGACTGTGTAGCAGCCTCGCAAACCTGAGCAATTGACACATGTTGGCGGATAGCCCAAGAAGCCCCCACTCTCACCTATCAGGATAGATGAGCACAGACAAACCACACATGTGAAAGGAATCAGGAGCAGCAAGGAGCATGGGTACTATAAGTACTATGGAGTACTTCCTTAAAATCCATGATGACATCTAAGAGAAGGTGGTTGATGACATCGTAAGGAGTATTACTCAGGCTTGGAAGAAATTTGTGGGAGTGTGATACTTATTTCCGCAGTATTGTAAGGCGTTTTTGGTTGGTTGTTTTTTTTGGCAAGGGTATTTATGCCTTACACTACAGAAGTGTACACTGAATGGTCAGTTGGCCTATTTTACTCACAGAATGACGCACTATCACAGTTATTACACTGTGCTCACTTTTTCACTTTAAATATCATGTTTTTTTGAAGTTGCACAGTGCATATGGTATATGGGTATGTAATTGATTTTTTATAAAGTTAATGCACTATACTACTACTACTACTACATCGAGTTTATATAGCGCCAAAGGGTTTGCTCAGCGCTGTACAATAGGGGGGACAATACATTGCACAGTACAACAAAAACAGACAGCGTACGAGGGGTAAGAGGACCCTACTCTTTCAAGCTTACAATCTATGAGGGAGGGGGTAGTGGAACAATAGGAAGTGGCTGAGGGGAATGAAGTGGCTGAGGGGGATGAAGTGGTGGGAGGAATGAGGGAGAATGGCCGTTAGGGCCACTATATGAGATTTCTTTTTTTTTGAGGTACATATTTTCCTTTGGGAGCCAATAGAAGGGCTCGAAATTAAAGGATCTGAAAATTTGCATTATTGGAATCAAAGATTGGAGTGACTTTAATTGTGAACACGAGTGACTTATAATTTTTTATTATCATAATATTTTTAATTTTTATTTTTTGGATATAGAAGTATTTTTTTGGGTTCATTTATTACATGTATTTAAATTTTTGCTTTTCATTATATGAAAATTTGTTCCACAATTTTGGGGATATTTATTTAACATATTGGAGTTATAGTGAGCATTGCACTTTCAAGGGTGAAAGTTAGATCTTATATGTTAGAGGGTGTAGTTGTATTATATTATATATTTTTGTTTGATACCGTATTTATAGATTTATAGTCAAGGCTGAAACCTGAACCCTAATAGTAACAACAGCCAACTTATTTTCTACTCCTGATTGCAGAAAAGACAAAATTCTCCCAATCAAATATTTCCAGGGCTGCCAATTTCGACCCTCACACCAATAAATATACGCCTTCCAAGTTCTATAATAAATGTTCCTAGAAACCAGCTTCCTAGCATTCAACATTGTGTGGATAACCGAGTCTGACACTCCCCTATCTTTCAAGATTTGGGTCTCAACAGCCATGCCGGCAAATTCAGCAACCATAAAGCTGGGTGCAATATAGGTCCCTGAGACAGCAGGATTGCCCACTGCTAGCCTGACAATATCCGCCCATCAAAACTTCCTGGGCCAGGCTGGTGCCACTAAAAGCACCAGAATCACCTCATCTTGAATCCTGCATAATAGCCATGGGAGTAGTTGAATCAGGGGGAAAGGCATAGATTAGGGAAAACTAATCCCACCGTATGAGCAAGGCATATACCCCTATTGCAAGAGGGTACCGCATCCTGGACACAAACCTGTCCACCTTGCTGTTGAACTTGGACACCAATAGATATATGTCTGGGTACCCCAAATGCTGGCAGATTGATGAGAACAGCTCAGGATGTGGAGCACATTCCCCCAAAAACAACCGCCGACAACTGAGGTAGTTCACCTGCCAATTCTCTATCCCTGGAATGAATACTACTGACAGAACTGGAACATGCCTTTCTGCCCCAGACAGAATGAGATTTACCCCCTCCTGCTCTTGGTACCACCTTGGTGGTTGATGTATGCCACTGCTATAGCATTGTTGGACTGGACCCTGACTAGCCAACCATGGAGCCTCGTAATCCAATATCTCAGGGCAAGCTGTACCACCCTAAGCTCCAGAATATTGATGGAAAGGCTCCTTTCCTGCAGTGACCACTTTCCCTGGACTGTGGCCCCTTCTAGAACAGCCCCCCAACCCGAGAGGTTGGCATCAGTTGTTACCAGCTTCCAAATCACTAATGGGAAAGATCTTCCCTTTTCCAAATTCCCTGCTTCCAACAACCAATTCAGGCTTTGCAGCACCTGGGGGGGACAAAGATATGCGGTACTCCAGCACTGGAATCTTTTTGTTCCATGCCGACAGAATACTCCCACTGCAAAAGCTTTGAGTGGAACTACGCATAGGGCACTGCCTTGAATGAGGATACCATCTTTCCCATTAACCTCATGCATAGACGAATGGAAGGACACTTCCTGCTCCTCAAACTCCAAACCTCATCTCTCGGGGTGCAGCCCTTTACTGGAGGCAGAAACACCTTTGCCTGGACATTGTCTAGGACCAACCCCAAATACTCCAGACTCTGTACTGGCTCTGCGGCCAACTTCTCAAAGCTGAACACCCAGCCCAAGTGTTCCAGAGTATGAATTCGCAAAAGCCACATTTTTTCTTAGGCTTGAACCCGACTGACCCCTGAACAGTAGATCATCCAGATAGCCCAAAATCGATTCTCCCCGAGTTCTTAACAGCCCCAGAACTGGAGCCAGACTCTTTGTAAACACTCAAGGAGCCATGGCTAGTCCAAAAGGTAGTGCCACAAACTGAATATGTTGAGTTTCTATCGCAAACCGCAGAAACTTTTGATGAGCTGGAAATATTGGCGCATGCAGATACAGCGTCCTTGATGTCTATAGATGCTAGAAAGTCTTCCTCTTGTAAAGATGCGACTACTGACTGGACTGACTCCATCCTAAATGAACCAATCGTTCGGAAACGAATCAGCCCCTTTAAGTCTAGAATAGGCCTTACATCCCCATTTGGCTTTGGAACCGTGAATAGGTTTGAATAAAATCCCTGGAACCTTTCATCCGCTGGAACCTCCACAATCACGCCCTGGGACAACATCCAGTTGAGTGCCTGAAACAAAGAATTCCTTCTCAATGGATTTGTGGATACATTTGACCTTAAGAAATGGGAGGAAGAATGACCCAAAACTCCACTTTGTAGCCCTAAACAACTGTAGCAATGATCCACTTGTCCTGGATCAGCTCTTCCCAGATTTTCACAAAATACAAAAGTCTTCCCCCACCCACACAATTGGGGGCGCCCCTTTATAATGAAGCAAACTCAGAATCTGACCTGGTGGGCTTCTGCACCCAGGGCTTCTTCTGGCCCTGAAATTTTCCCCTAGATGCAGAGCCCTGTGTATGGCCAAATGCTTGCCTATCGGATGAAGCACCAACCACTCAAAAGTGCCTGGCCCCTTTGGGTGTTCGGACTTTCTTTTAAAAGGGTAAAATCTTACTTTTTCCCCCTGAAATCTTCTAGATATACTTGTCTAGGTTCTCCCCAAACAAATGTTCTCTATGAAAGGGAAAACTCACCAAAAATCTTTTGCACGGTAGTTCCACTGCCCAACTCTTTAACCACAAGATCCTGCGCATGTGTACGGACAGAAGGGCCGTGCGAGGTATCTGCTGACTTGAGTCCTTAAAGGCATCTACTACAAAACACAAGGCCTGTGGTAAATCTGCCAAATCCACAGCCGTATCCTGCTCCA